CTTTAGTTCTTTATCTCATCCTGTGTGTTGTAATAATTTGTCACCAGTTCAGGTATAGAAGAGAAACCCAAATACTTTGTCAAACTGACAGTTGTTTCTTGTCTTTCTACTTACTAGGTCATGTTACGGAATTCTAACTATTGTTTCCATATGCTAATTTATCAGTAGTATTACATGTCCAATAAAGTTATTGCTTCGTGTTCTCAAAACACGTTGAGGTGTCACCTTCTTTTACTCTATTTGCAGTATGCTTTAGACAGTTCCCTTTGGTTCTCTTTACCATTTAACGTCATATGGAATTGCTGAGAAAAGCTTATTTTGATAATAGAGCTGGAGTTATTTAATAACTGAATATATTTCTGAAATTAACAATCTTTTTCAGTGTACTGGTAGTGTTAAAGATCTAGCATTACTGTTTGTCTGTTTGTATAGGGCATTGCATTTTTGTAGGCTTAACCTTGAGGATTGCAACATCAACTCTTCTATAAATCCAAGCTGTACAACTGGACTTCCTATTCAGTTATTTTAGTAACTTCAGTATAAAAATCCTGGTTTTTAATTGATTGCCCTTTTATATTATATGTGCTGCCTACTTCCTGTTTCTAGACCAGTGGTTCACAAACTTGTTACACCGCTTGTGCAGGGAAAGCCCCTGGTGGGCTGGACCGATTTGTTTACCTGCCGCATCCGCAGGTTCGGCCGATCGCAGGTCCGAATGGCCGCGGTTCGCTGCTCCAGGGCAATGGGAGCTGCTGGAAGCGGCGGGTAAACAAACTGGCCCGGCCCACCAGGGGCTTTCCCCGCACAAGTGGCGGAACAAGTTTGGCAACCACTTTTCTAGACTATGGTGCTTTTATGTTGTAGGACACAGTGTACTTATGGACTATGGCTCTTGTCCAGTTGTCCTGGGTGATGCAACTGTGTTACATAGGGTCTTCTGCTGTGTTTTTGATACATTAAGCCATTATAGTTTCTGAATCCTGTGTCCTATGATGTCTGTTACGCTTTTATCAGTGTTTCATTTTTTGTACACCAATATGTAAGATAACTTTCCTGTATTCTACCTCCTTGTAAAATCTTTTTTTTTTTAAAGCAACATTTTGTAACATGCTTAACTATGAGAGTTGAAGCAGAGAATAGAACACATGGTTTAATTGCGTTAGGTATGGTTTTGCTTTTGCTTCTCGTCGTGTGCCTCATTCCGAATTGGTCCACAGGCAATGAAAGACTCACCCAAAGGCCAGAGAGAGCTTGATTAATTTGTCTTGGAATGGGAAGGAACTAGTTAGTGTTGCAATTTTTCTTTCCCATTGTTTTGTTCATCTGCCTGGCCAAAAAGGAAAAGTCACTCTGTAGCAGTAACAGGTGACAAACTGGATGTCATGTGTCCTACCCAGCTCTTCTGAAACAGTTTTACCTTATAGTGAAACGTATTACTTTTACAGGAATACAGGTGATTATGGTTTGTATCTGTCACATTTAAACTTCAAGTCCTTGTCTTTAAAGCTTTGGCAATTCCTTTGCTCTGCATAAGTGTTACTCCCAGCAGTTTCCTTCTCCTTTTCCACGCTGTTCCTTATGCTTGGAAGCCTTCACCTTCTTGAACAAGTCAACCATTCTTTCTTCATTCAATTCTCTCATTTAAAACAGTTCTCAATTCTCCTTTTCTAATTCACCGTCGAAACAAATTGTTAAGAAACAACTTGAGATCTCATTACAGAAAGAAACAAAAACTTATATGTTGTCATTTTTGCTAGATCTTATTAAAATTATATGTAATAACTACACTTAAAGTGACAGTCAACCTGAAATGAAGAGTTACAAGTATTTTCAAGTACTGCATCAGCACCTAGATCATCCTGCCAATTTCTGTAATTTTACAATCACATTTTCTATTTTCAAGTGTTTCTCTCCCCTGTGACTGTGTGAAAGATCCAAACAAACAAGGAATTGACTAATCAGGAAATGTGGTGAAACTGACTACACACAAAGTACTGATAAATGCTCAAGTAAACAAACTGAAAATAATTTCTCTAATCATTCTGTTATAGTAATTTTAGTTGTATTTGTAATATAACGGTAAACCATTTTCAAACAGTTGTTTTTTCTAAGTTGAATATTTGTCAATGCCCTTTATTCTAAACTGTTCATGTGTGCAGTAACTTAATAATCAAACCTCTTAATAATCTCCTTTGCTAATATCTGTTTATGCACAAGTGTGTGAAATTTTGAATTTTTACTTTAAACATCTGGAAAAATCTGACACATTCACAAATGCATATTGAATTATAGCAGGCTCCTTTGAAGCCTTTGGATGCACTCCGGCTATGTCTGGTCTACAGGAGCCCTGGTCTCAGCTGAGTGTGTATCAGGACAGAACATTCTAATTCTGTCTGATAAATAGATCTATATTACAAATTTTGTTTTTCTTTTTAAAAATCTCTATTTTTACTTTACTAAAATCTTGAAAAATCATTAAGTTTGCAAAGTGAAGCATTCTGGTCAGGAAAAGCTAATGATGAGGTTGTCTTTACAACCTTTGCTTTTACTTCTGTGTGTATACTCTTATTTTAATTTCACAATCATCTGCCAATCTATATATTCAACAATGCAGACATTCTGCAGATATAATAGTATCTGTATAGTGAAGGTGTACATAATAAACAACATAGAACAGTCCTTTAGATTGTTAAGTTTGGATCAGATTTTAGTTGCCATTTCCACAATGTAAACTAGAAATAGATCCACTGAATTGATGGACTTACACAGCTGTGGAATCGGTAACAAAGTAGGTTTGGGCTCTCTGCACAGGCTGGACAATGTACAGTGAGCAAAGCAGGGATTAGTAGAAAGTTAAGTAGAATTTTTATTGTCTCATTCACTGTGTACTGTCCAAAGTATGTTCATAAGAATGGCCATACTGGGTCAGACCAAAGGTCCATCCAGCCCAGTGTCTTGTCTACCGACAGATGCTCCAGAGGGAGTGAACCTAACAGGTAATGATCAAGTGATCTCTCTCCTGCCATCCATCTCCACCCTCTGACAGAGGCTAGGGACACCATTCCTTACCTGTCCTGGCTAATAGTCATTAATGGACTTAACCTCCATGAATTTATCCAGTTCTCTTTTAAACCCTGTTATAGTCCTAACCTTCACAACCTCCTCAGGCAAGGAGTTCCACAGGTTGACTGTGCGCTGAGTGAAGAAGAATTTCCTTTTATTTGTTTTAAATCTGCTGCCCAGTAATTTTATTTAGTGGCCCCTAGTTCTTATATTATGGGAACAAGTAAATAACTTTTCCTTATTCACTTTCTCCACACCACTCATGATTTTATATACCTCTATCGTATCCCCTCTTAGTCTCCTCCTTTCCAAGCTGAAAAGTCCTAGCCTCTTTACTCTCTCCTCATATGGGACCCGTTCCAAACCCCTAATCATTTTAGTTGCCCTTTTCTGAACCTTTTCTAATGCCAGTATATCTTTTTTGAGATGAGGGGACCACATCTATACACAGTATTCAAGATGTGGGCTTACCATGGATTTATGTAAGGACAATAAGATATTCTCCGTCTTATTCTCTATCTCTTTTTTAATGATTACTAACATCCCATTTGCTTTTTTGACTGCCGCTGCACACTGCATGGACGTCTAGAAACTATCCACGATGACTCCAAGATCTTTTTCCTGATTAGTTGTAGCTAAATTGTTGAATTGTTAAAGGTGTTGAATTATAGTATCAATACTATAATTAAAATTGCATCATAATGCATATGCAAAAGAGGATAGTTAAAATTGTGCCAACAACCTCAACATTTGCATTTCTTGACATTTGAGTGATTCCATTTGCAACTTAAACTTTCAAATGTCCGTTATTTAATACCATTGGTAAATCAGAAAAGTGCCAAGCACACCATTTTGTAATTATATAGAATTATTTATAAGTATTGTTCCTGAGAAATTACCTGGTGCTGTATTCATGGCATAACCAAAGAAATTACAGCTCAGGCCTGGCCTACTCCTAAAACATAGCTATGTCACTCAGGGGTATAAAAAGGTCACAGCCCTGAGATATGTAGTCAAGCTGTCCTAAGCCCTGGTATAAAAATTGCTAGGTCAATGGGAGGAATTCTTTCATTGACCTAGCTACCACCTCCCGTGGAGGTGGATTTACTACAGCAATGGAAAAACCCCTTCCCTTACTGAAACAAATGTCTGCACTACAGTGCCACAATTATGCTTCTGTAGTGCTTGTAGTGTAGCTTCTGATTTATACAGAGCTATTTCCCTGTTACATCAGTCTTTTTGTCTCAAGAACTACTGTTAATCTTTAAGCACCCTCCAAGTACAGGTGAATAATTACAAGTGGTACACCAGTTTTCACTAGTGTAACTTAACGTTGGACTAGTTGTATTAAAATATTTTAGTTTAACTCTGAAATAAACGTATTCTGAAAACCCAAACCCAGAAAGGGCTATACAGTTCTGTCTGGAAAATTGTGAAATTTTGTACAGAGCCTTTTAATTTATCATACTCTCTATTGGCATGTAATGATATTTATAAGAATGGGTTTTTATTGTTACCCTGTTTTCTGATGTAAACAATGTATTCCTCTCACTTCTCTCCTCCTGCCCCTCTACACAATTTATTTCTTTGTTTCCATGTTGTACTTTCCTTGTTGGATAGTCCCTTTATTAGTTTGTATTTTGGACAAAAAGGATTGAGGAAATTTATGCAAGTGTTGAGCAAATATTTTACAGCAAAATAATGTTATTGTATTAAGTAATAGAAAGAGAGATATAGCTGTATTTAATGCTAGTTTTATATTTCAAAATAAAATCCCATACTGATAAACTGAAAGTAGTTACTTGATCTCTATTTACATTAAAGCAGTCTTCTAAAAGTAAAATATTTAGAAAGCTGCTGAAATACGTTAAATCACATCACAATGACTTGGTCCAGATTGGGAGTATGCTGTAATTATTTTATCTTAAACTTTTCAGACAATGAGAAGACAACGAAATGAAGTTGTTGTGGAGTTAAGAAAGGTAAGATGGATTAGTGTTTTTACTAAATATAACTTTTATGTCTCAGGCATTTGAGTAGAAATTACAAAAGTTTTCTGTGTCTGAGGCAGACAATCATAGTGCTTACTTTTTTATAGGTTTCAGAGTAGCAGTGGTGTTAGTCTGTATTCGCAAAAAGAAAAGGAGTACTTGTGGCACCTTAGAGACTAACAAATTTATTTGAGCATAAGCTTTCGTGAGCTACAGCTCACTTCATCGGATACAGTCCACTGAATGCATCCGATGAAGTGGGCTGTAGCTCACGAAAGCTTATGCTCAAATAAATTTGTTAGTCTCTAAGGTGCCATAAGTACTCCTTTTCTTTTTACTTTTTTATAGACCATTTAAAAGGATGTTGTCCAATTGTATTTGTCTTTTCAAGGTCTGTGTAGACACTCACATTTTTGGTGGGGAGGGAAGCTTCAAAGCAGATGCTACCAAGTCAGGAACTAAAAATGCACATTAGTTGTCTGTCTATAAATGAATGACTGTAACTTCATTTAAACTAGTTACTCGAAGATCTTTAAGTCGAAACATCCCCCTGGATGTTGCCTCACTGATAACCAGTGCTTGCATTACCCTTTATTTGCTTCCTGTCTCTAATAACAGTAATCGCTGGGCTGTTCCCATTACCCACATTCCATCTACTGGGTTTCAGTGACATAGGCGAATTAATTTTGGTTTCTTCCTCACATGAAGAATTAGGGCTTTAAGGAATATTTCAATTTCTGTGTTGCTGAAACCATCCTCTATCAATACTCACTGTGAATCCTGTCCTTACTCCTTGTTTTAGGATTTGGATAATCTTTGGTCCTAATAATTCCCAAGAATGACAGTGGACTCCTTTTTTTACTTGCAACTTACCAAGGATCATGGCTTCTCCTTAACACTTGCAAACAGATAATTGGGTCAACCCTACTACATGCTTAGGGGAAGGGCAAAAAATCCTCAGGTGTCCATACTCCTCTATAGCGAGGAAAGATATTCCTGACATTAAATCAGCAGTCAACTGTAGCCCAAAACATACAGGGAGGCAAGAGTTAAAAGCTGTATTCCTTCAACATATATTATTGCCAATTAAGTAAAATAAAATCACCATAGGAGAGATGGCTGGGGTGACCTTTTAGTGATAGAAATGTATCCACTATTTTGTCTTCCCACTTGCCTCACGTGTTGGGGAGGAGACCAGTGGACTGAACTGGCAAGCATCACTCCCATCAATCAGGGCTGTTAGGGAACCTAGAACTTGGACATGGTGAGGAAAGAAGGATGGCAACAAAACTGTCCTGTTGCAGTTGGCAGGTATTAAAAGATTAAAACTAGTATGAGCATCCCTACAATACGCTAATATATGATGGAGAAAAATTAGGAAAGCAGTCAGGTTTATTAAATATTTTTAGTGGATGAGATTTGAAACCATACATTGAAAAATACATTTTTTTTTATTCAAGAAGCTGCTGTGAAAATGCAGAATGTTTACGTAGCATTGGGATAGTGGAATATGTTTGGAAAGTATGTTAACTTTCACTTAGACATCTTAAATTCATTTCCATGCTTAAGTCTTTTCAAGTGGAATACTAATTTGCCAAGCTTTGTTTTTTCAACATCTGAATCTGTATTTTCAGGCTGTCAAACCACATGATGCTCCATAATAGTTATGGCATATTTTGAAATACCAGACTACTGATTTGTTTGCTCTGAAATCTGAACAGCATTTCCACAAAGATTTTGATGCTGGGGGGGGGGACGTCTTTAAATTCTCTTTCTGTGCCAGAGCAATAAGTGCCAAGTTGGGAACAAGAAAAAAAGTGTTCAGTTTAGTATAATTTTAGATGAAGCAAAACGTGGGTGTAGAAGGTAAAACTGTGGATGTTGGGACTGGGGGAGTATAAGCCATTAGAGCGATGAGGAAAGAAATCTTAGGACAAAAAGTATTACTTTTAAGGTTAACAGAAAATTGAATGCAGTGAATTTAGTGGTTTCAGTGATGAATATAGACAAATGAGTTGTATATAGGTCATGTCACATACAGTAAAATCTTATACAGCTGTAGCTATAATCAAGAGAAGGCCATCCTGTTCCTCGGGAAGATATAAATCATGGGTGTGCAAACTTTTTGGCCTGAGGGCCACATCGAGGTGCGAAACTGTACAGAGGGCTGGGTAGGAAAGGCTGTGCCCCCCAAACAGCCTGGCCCCCTCCCCCTATTTGCCCCCTCCCACTGCCTGCCCCCCTGACTGTCTCCCTCAGAACCCCCCAACCCATCCAACCCCCGCCTGCTCCTTGTCCCCTGACTGCCCCCTCCTGGCACGCCCCCTAGGATCCCACCCTCTATCCAACTCCCCCCATCCCCTGACTGATGTCCCGACCTATCCACACCCCTGCCCCCTAACAGGCCCCCCAGGATTACCACACCCTATCCAACCCTGGCCACCCCAGAACCTCTGCCCCATCCAATCCCTCGCTCCCTGCTCCCTGGGACTCCCTACCCAACCCCCCCACCACCACCGTGCGCCGCTGACCCCTTACCATGCTGCTCAGAGCGGCAGGAGCTTGCAGCCCTGCTGCCCGCGCGGCAGCATGACTGTGTGGGAGGGGAACAGCGGGGGAGGGGCCGGGGGCGAGCCTCCTGGGCCAAGAGCTCAGGGGCCAGGCTGGATGTGACCCGCTGGCAGTAGTTTGCCCATCTCTGGCATAAATGGTGAGCACTCATCTTAGTCACATACTTCAATGCCTGGCTTGAATGTCTGAGCATTAATAGTACCAGTGAAATACTTACTTTTACCCACAACGTAAAAGGAAGTCATCTCCGCTTCTGCGGGGAGGGGGGGAGAAATAAAACTACAAAACACAGCAAATTTATTTTTCTTTAAAGAACAAGAGAGATGAACACCTGTTAAAGAGAAGAAATGTACCCCATGAAGATATCTGTGAAGATTCAGATATAGATGGCGATTTCAGAGTGGTAAGAATTAACACTGTCTAAAGTTTATTTCTTAACTTTTTTTAAAACTGTATCTAACTGTTTTGGGTTTTTTTTTCCCCCCCAGCAAAACACCTCATTGGAGGCAATAGTTCAGGTAAAAATATTTATTTTTCCCTGAACGTTTTTGGCTTAATGACAAATGTAAAATGGCTGAATTCTAAGTTATTGATTTTATTGTAGAATGCTTCAAGTGACAACCAGGGTATCCAGTTAAGTGCAGTGCAGGCTGCAAGGTAAGAGCACAGTTTGTTCAACTTTACTGTTTCTACCCTTGCTGCTTATATAGTGCTACTAAATTTAGAAAATCATGAATTCTTGCACTAGTTGATAGAATGGTGATGTCATCTATGGATCAAGTTCACCAAATATTACTGCTGTAATAACATATCTTGTATGTAAACTTTGTTTATAAAAAACAAACTGACAGAATGTAGAATTACATTCTCTTAATAAATTCTCTTAATAAATATTCATGTGAACTCTAGGATTTTAGTAAATGCCATACTCCTGACTTTCAAAATAAATTGAGTAAAGATCCTAATTGATTTCATATGTATAAATAGTCATGGAACACAGTTTCCCTTTAATTTAAATAAGTTGTCTGAGGTGTTTAAATCATCACAAGACTACCAGATTCCTAACAAGTTAGACTAATTGCCAAATACTTGAAGACACTTTAAGTCAGGGGTTCTCAAACTGGGGGTCGGGACCCTTCAGGAGGTTGCGAGGTTATTACATTGGGGTTTGCAAGCTGTCAGCCTCCACCCCAAACCCCGCTTTGCCTCCAGCATTTATAATGGTGTTAAATTATATAAACAAGTGTTTTTAATTTATAAGTGGGGGTCACACTCAGTGGCTTGCTATATGGAAGGGGTCACCAGGACAATAGTTTGAGAACCTCTGCTTTAAGTTAATGATTTCTTTGGACCTCTTAACCAGTCAAGTAGCTGTTCTTGAGCTGTTTACTGTAAGGTCTTGTCTACATGAGAAAGTTGCACCAATTTAACTTGGTGTGATTTTTAAAACCTATTTAGTTAAACTGGTGCAAGGCTGTATGGACACTTATTTCAGTTTAAACCAGATAAGGAATTTATTTGAAAAAAACTGAAACCTGACTGGTTTAAATGGAAATAAGAAAGTCCACATAGTCTTTTTCACTGATTAAATTGGTTTAGAAACAATTTTAAGTTAACTGAGTGCAACTTTTGCATGTGGACAAGGCCTACAAGTAGAGGTCTTTTAATGTTAATATAAGGTGTGAAAGCTATTTAGTTGTTTCTCTTATACTGCTCTGCCACCATACACAGCATCTGAAGCTTGAGCAGAAGGGAGGACCTGATCTCTCTGTAACTTCTTGAAACACATGTCTAGAGCACATGGCAAGGACAGAGCATTGTTTGAATAGAAGCAGTTACAAATAACTGGAGTTAACTGATTCTTGGAGCCAGGGTTATGAGCTGCCTGAGAGGACAGCAAATACATTTGTGGTAGTTTTTGAGTAAACCTAAACTGTGCAGTATTTTGCTATTAAAAGTGAATATTGGGGTGGGTTTTTTGTAGGAACTGGGGTATGTGTTGTAATTAATCCTAGGATAACTTATTAATATTTTGTCTGTACATCTACATCTCTCCTAAAAAGGAAGTTTTTCTTCTCAGTTGGCAATATAAATATACACCTGCAATAACATCACGTAGCTTTTACAAACTTTAAATATTCAAAGCCCCTAACCGGATTGTATTAAGATATTTTCACTGTGCAGACTATGCTTTACTTGCCAGTTTAAGGCAGTGGCCACTGGTAGTGTTCAGAACTGGAAGCCGCAGCAGTCAGTCACAGCTACTTTCTTGTCTATCATGTCCACTGTCCCCCTCTAGAGAGACAGTTTGGTGTGGCTGGGGCAGGAGGAAAGGAATGTGCTTCTGATCTTCCCCCCCCAACTTTGTTCTTCTGAAATAGAATCATAGAAAATAAGGGTTGGAAGGGACCCCAGAAGGTCATCTAGTCCAACCCCCTGCTCGAAGCAGGACCAATTCCCAGTTAAATCATCCCAGCCAGGGCTTTGTCAAGCCTGACCTTAAAAACCTCTAAGGAAGGAGATTCTACCACCTCCCTAGGTAACGCATTCCAGTGTTTCACCACCCTCTTAGTGAAAAAGTTTTTCCGAATATCCAATCTAAACCTCCCCCACTGCAGCTTGAGACCATTACTCCTCGTTCAGTCATCTGCTACCATTGAGAACAGTCTAGAGCCATCCTCTTTGGAACCCCCTTTCAGGTAGTTGAAAGCAGCTATCAAATCCCCCCTCATTCTTCACTTCTGCAGGCTAAACAATCCCAGCTCCCTCAGCCTCTCCTCATAACTCATGTGTTCCAGACCCCTAATCATTTTTGTTGCCCTTCGCTGGACTCTCTCCAATTTATCCACATCCTTCTTGTAGTGTGGGGCCCAAAACTGGACACACTACTCCAGATGAGGCCTCACCAATGTCGAATAGAGGGGAATGATCACGTCCCTCGATCTGCTCGCTATGCCCCTACTTATACATCCCAAAATGCCATTGGCCTTCTTGGCAACAAGGGCACACTGCTGACTCATATCCAGCTTCTCGTCCACTGTCACCTCTAGGTCCTTTTCCGCAGAACTGCTGCCTAGCCATTCGGTCCCTAGTCTGTAGCTGTGCATTGGGTTCTTCCGTCCTAAGTGCAGGACGCTGCACTTATCCTTATTGAACCTCATCAGATTTCTTTTGGCCCAATCCTCCAATTTGTCTAGGTCCTTCTGTATCCTATCCCTCCCCTCCAGCGTATCTACCACTCCTCCCAGTTTAGTATCATCCGCAAATTTGCTGAGAGTGCAATCCACACCATCCTCCAGATCATTTATGAAGATATTGAACAAAACCGGCCCCAGGACCGACCCTTGGGGCACTCCACTTGATACCGGCTGCCAACTAGACATGGAGCCATTGATAACTACCCGTTGAGCCCGACAATCTAGCCAGCTTTCTACCCACCTTATAGTGCATTCTTCCAGCCCATACTTCCTTAACTTGCTGACAAGAATACTGTGGGAGACCGTGTCAAAAGCTTTGCTAAAGTCAAGAAACAATACATCCACTGCTTTCCCTTCATCCACAGAACCAGTAATCTCATCATAAAAGGCGATTAGATTAGTCAGGCATGACCTTCCCTTGATGAATCCATGCTGGCTGTTCCTGATCACTTTCTTCTCATGCAAGTGCTTCAGGATTGATTCTTTGAGGACCTGCTCCATGATTTTTCCAGGGACTGAGGACATAGTCCCACTTGAGCTCCCTACAGGCCTTCAATCACCTTATGGATGTTGAAAAGGGAGGTTAAAGGAGTTAAAGTTCAAGTGGGTTTGTACTCCCTCCTTCCTAGCAGCATGTGCCTTTGTATTAGGCCTGTCGATTAATCGCAGTTAACTCACATGATTAACTCCATAAAGTTAATCGCAGTTTTAGTTGCACAGTTAAACAATAGAATGCCAATTGAAATTTATTAAACATTTTGGATGTTTTTCTACATTTTCATATGTATTATGTTCTGTGTTGTAATTGAAATCAAAGTGTAATTATTTTTTATTATAAATATGTGCACTATAAAAATGATAAATAGTATTTTTCAATTCACCTCATACAAGTACTGTAGTGCAATCTGTTTGTCATGAACGTGCAACTTACAAATGTAGGATTTTTTTTTGTTCTATAATTACAATCAAACAATGTAAAACTTCAGCGCCTACAAGTCTACTCGGTCCTACTTGTTCAGCCAATCGTGAAGACAAACAAGTTTGTTTACATTTACAGGAGATAATGCTGCCCTCTTCTTATTTACAGTGATACCAGAAAGGGAGAACAGGCATTTGCATGACACTTTTGTAGCCGGCATTGCAAGGTATTTACATGCCAGATATGCTAAACATTCATATGCCCATTCATGCTTTGACCACCATGCCCGAGGACATACTTCGATGCTGATGACACTTGTTAAAAAAAAATGCATTAATTAAATTTGTGACTGAACTCCTTGGGGGAGAACTGTATGTCCCCTGCTCTGTGTTACCCATTAAATATATTTCATGTTATAGCAGACTCGGATGATGACCCAGCACATGTTCATTTTAAGAACACTTTCGCTGCAGATTTGACAAAACGCAAGGAAGGTACCAATTTGAGATTTCTAAAGATAGCTATAAAACTTGACCCAAGGTTTTTGCAGAATCTGAAGTGCCTTTCAAAATCTGAGAGGGACGAGGTGTGGAGCGTGCTTTCAGAAGTCTTAAAAGAGCAACACTCCAATGTGGAAACTACAGAACCCAAACCACCAAAAAAGAAAATCAGCTTTCTGCTGGTGGCATCTGAGAATGAACATGAGTCGGTTCACACTGCTTTGGATTGTTATCGAGCAGAATCCGTTATCAGCATGGATGCATGTCCCCTGAAATGGTTGGTCGAAGCATGAAGGAACATATGAATCTTTAGGGCATCTGACACGTAAATATCTTGCAATGCCAGCTACAGCATGAGAATGCCTGTTCTGACTTTCAGGTGACATGTAAACAAGAAGCGAGCAGCATTATGTCCTGCAAATGTAAACAAAGTTGTTTGAGTGATTGGGTGAACGAGAAGTAAGACTGTGTGGACTTGCAGGCTCTAAAATTTTACATTGTTTTATTTTGAATGTAGTTTTTTGTACATAATTCTACATTTATACGTTCAACTTTTATGATAAAGAGATTGTACTACAGTACTTGTATGAGGTGAATTGAAAAATACTATCTTTTGGGTTTTTCACAGTGCAAATACTCATAATCAAAAATAAATACGAAGTAAGCACTGTGCACTTTGTGTTCTGCGTTGTAATTGTAATCAATATATTTTAAAATGTAGAAAACATCCAAAAATATTAAAATAAATGGTATTAAATTTTTTTAATTGGGTGGTGCAGTTAATTTTTTTTAATCATGTGACAGTCCTAATTTGTATCCCCCACACACTGACTCCTTAGTGAGGAAGAGGGAGGAAAGCATGTTCTGGCAGTCCTAACAAAGCAGCCAATACCTTGCCTCTTATCCTTTGCACCAGCTGGGAAGATAATGCTGGGGAGGGGCATGTGGATGACTGACTTACTCCTGTCACGGGTTTCCCATGATGACAAACCAGGTGTTCAACTCAACAGTCATACTCTTTAGAGTAGTAGCAGAAGAGGCGGTGGGATTGGCTGAAATAGTAGCTAAGTACACAACTTTTCAGCAGTGCTAAATTCACTTTTTTTTAAAAAGCCCTATTTGACTCTAGGGGATTTGTCTGCAAATGTCATATTTTCTCCTTTGTTTCTAAACAGGAAGCTTCTTTCCAGTGATCGCAATCCACCAATTGATGACTTAATAAAATCTGGAATACTACCTATTTTAGTGCACTGTCTTGAAAGAGATGACAAGTGAGTGTGTTACTTTTTTAAAAGTAAGTACTGGTAGGAAAAGTTAATTGTTTTGAGAAGACTTCATAGATATCCTTTGACAAAACAATTTGTGCAAGCATTTGCAAGTGTACATGTTATCCTACTGTATTAGATTCAGATAGAATATGTTTTGTATTACAGTAAAACTGACTTTACACTTTTATTTGTAGTCCTTCTTTACAGTTTGAAGCTGCATGGGCTTTGACAAACATTGCATCTGGAACCTCTGAACAAACACAGGCTGTAGTTCAATCTAGTAAGTTGATCAATTTGATGATAATGCATTTCATGTGCACACTGTAATTTCTTCAAAAATATGAGGATCAAGTGATGATTTAATAAGGACCTACACCCCATCTCTCTTCCTCAAGTGTTCACCAATCTACACTACCTAGGACTTAATACTTTCATATGATAGCCACAGGATGGTTGAAACTGAATTGTCAATCACAGGCACATCACTGAAGGACCTGCCCAGGAAGTCTCCTGCCAGAAATTCTACCCCTTCTCTGGCAAGCAGCATCAGTTGAAGCACAGATCTGATTTTGTTCTTCATTTTCTCAGATTTTAAATTCATTTGGTTTTCCTGATGGTGAGTAATCTCTTGTGGGAACTCACACTATTTTAGCAGAGTTAATATCTGCTGGTTTTCCAGTTTTCAAACACTGTTTTTTAACTTCTCTTCACAATTCGGAGGGATTTCCTACCTAATTTTGAAGGAGGAGGAAAAGATAGTCCAAGTCCAGAGAGTGCCTCCTCGGGAATTTACTTCCAAGATTACACTCAAGATAAAATGGTGTCCATATGTTCAGGAATCTGAAGTTAGGAAAGAATTTTTGTACTTGCAACCCATGTTGCCAGATGAAACAGAAAATTGTTTTATGGTTCTGTGCCTGACATATTTCTTTTAAATCTACTTGAACGTCAACTTGGGAGATCAGGGCACAGTAGAACTTCTCTAGTATTGAATTTGGCAAATAAAATAGTTGTGCTTCTTGAGATCTGAATATAGAGTCACTGCCATGTTCAAGCAAGTTTTTGTAGTTGAATCAAATTCACTTCCTATTCTCTTCCAATTCCTCATGGATCTGCTATTGTAAATAAGGAAAAGCTTGTTATAAACAGACAAGGAAAAAAAAAGAAGTCCACACAACTAAAAACCAGAACAGGAAGTATCAAAATATTATTGAAATCCAAAGACAATGTGATCAAATTTTAATATACTGCACTATAAACTGTCAATGCTGGAGATGCTGAATTGCCAACAGTGAAAGGGCGGGGGAAACTTTTCCACTCAAGAACTTTAATGTATGAAAACCGCACGTTTAAAAACTGTTTTCTTATTCTTAAATATTTAATCAAAATGTAGAATTGACTCAGTGTGGCAGTGGTTTTCAAACTAGGGTTCACATGGGCTCTTGTGAGGGGGTATGTAATAGCTCTATTATGACCCTATGTCAGATGGGGGTATCCTAGAAGACTGGGGTCAGAAGAGACCCCAGGAGGTACTCTAGTCCAACCCCCTGCTCAAAGCAGGATCAGTCCCAACTCAAGGGTTCTCGAACTCGGGGTTGTGATCACTCAGGGGGTGACAGGGTTATTACTTGGGGATCGTGGGCTGTCAGCCTCCACCCCAAACCGCCCTTCGCCTCCAGCGTTTATAATAGAGTTATCTATACAAAAAAGTGGTTTTTAATTTATAAGAGAGGGTTGCACTCAGAGGCTTACTATGTGAAAGGGTTCACCAGGGCTGTCCGTAGGGAGGTGCAGGGGCCTCGGGCGGAAGTGATGATTCCATCACTTCCAGGACCCACTGCACCAGGTAGGGGAATCAGTGCTTACCCAAACAGCCAGGCGTGGCTCCGCCCCGGACCCCGCTTTGGCAGTGCCGCTGGGCTCCAGAGGCCTTGGGCCACGCTGCCTTCTTGCCTGGGCTAGGGAGGCTGCAGCAGCACTGCTGCAAGCTCTCACTCAGGTGGAAGGGGCATGGCTGGGGGCTAGCCTCCCCCAGCCAGCAGTTCATGCACTGCCCATGTGCGCTGGCCCACGGGGCCCAGAGTGGTCACCCTATTCACTGTACCCTAAGGACAGCTTTGGGGTCACCAATACAGAAGTTAGAGAGGCACTGGAATACATTATTTGGAAATGGGTATGCAGCCTAAAAAGTTTTAAAACCACTGCAATAAGGGAAAGTACTGTGCTAAAACTATCTGGTTTGAGTGATGAGATTAATATGTTAGCCTGATGACTAGGTTGACACAGGCATAGGTATTCTAATTTAATCTTTTATTTGCTTTATCTTTGATACGAGAAATAAAATGCTTCTTATTTATTGTGATAAATATGTGACCACTTGACAATAACATAATCTGTTAACTGTTGGAGTTGCTTTTAAAATACAAAGTTAAAATGGATTTTATTTAAAGATTTTGTTTTTGTTTTTTTTTAAATGAATTTTGGAGCGAAATTTAGAGCCACCTGCTTGGTCTGGGAAGCTGAGAGGTAACAAAAAGCAGAGAAAACGCTGGAGGGCAAAAAAGATTAATCCTGAATATCAAACTTTGATCAAATAACTACATGAGCAAATCCAAGGCAAATATTTCACAGAATTAACCAGTGTAAAGATCACAGATCTTTTAGAAAAAAATTTACTTTAAGTCTTCAGTTCTTCATCTGAGAGAGTTTGTGTCTAATCAGAGAATGAATCTGTGTTGTGAAACTGTAGTTGGTTACAAAATTAATTATCCTTCTCTCTTGGGGCATTGTCAAAGGCCACTGAAATCAATGTAGGATCCTACTGAATTCAAAGGAGTTGGATTGAGCTGTCAAAGAGCAGGTGTTTTCTCTAATATTGATATCCTCCCCTCCCAATACAATTTAGATTGCTGCAAGTGTATCTAGGTTCGGTTTTGCATGTTACATAATGATGCATTAGAATTAGGACTGTCGATTAATCGCAGTTAACTCACGTGATGAACTCAAAAAGATTAATCGTGATTAAAAAAATTAATTGCAATTAATCACACTATTAAACATTAGAATACCAATTAAAATTTATTAAATATGTTTGGGTATTTTTTTACATTTTGAAATATATTGATTTCTATTCCCACACAGAATACAAAGTGTACAGTGCTCACTTTATATTATTTTTATTACAAATGTTTGTAAAAATGATAAAAGAAATAGTATTTTTCAATTCACCTCATGCAAGTATTGTAGTGCAATCTCTTTATCGTGAAAGTGTAACTTACAAATGTAGATGTTTTGTTTTTGAATGCAGTTACGTAACAAAACAAAAAAAAGTAAAACTTTAGAGCCTACGAGTCCACTCAGTTCTACTTCTTGTTCAACCAATTGCTAAGACAAGTTTGTTTACATTTCCAGGAGATAATGCTGCCTGCTTATTATTTACAATGCAGTTTTTTTACATAACTCTACATTAGTAAGTTCAGTTTTAATGATGGAGATTGCACTACAGTACTTGTATTAGGTGAATTGAAAAATACTATTTTTGTTTTTTACAATTCAAAAATAAAGTGAGCACTGTGTACTTTGTATTCTGTGTTGTAATTGAAATCAATATATTTGCAAATATGTAAACTACCCAAAAATATTTAAATCAATGGTATTCTGTTATTATTTAACAGTGCTGGTGAATCTTGCCCATATGCTCGGGGTTTAGCTGATCGCCATATTTGGGGTCGGGAAGGAATTTTCCTCCAGGGCAGATTGGAAGAGGCCCTGGAGGTTTTTCGCCTTCCTCTGTAGCATGGGGCATGTGTCACTTGCTGGAGGATTCTCTGCTCCTTGAAGTCTTTAAACCATGATTTGAGGACTTCAATAGCTCAGACATAGGTGAGAGGTTTTTCGCAGGAGTGGGTGGGTGAAATTCTGTGGCCTGCATTGTGCAGGAGGTCAGACTAGATGATCATAATGGTCCCTTCTGATCTTAGTATCTATGAATCTAATCGAGATTAATTTTTTCAATTGCTTGACAGCCCTAATTAAAATTATTTTTATTTCTGCTGTATTAAAGCTAACTTTTCAATGGATCGAAAGCCAGGATTGAGTCTGGCAGTTCGGATTTTTCTACTGATGGACTTAGATTAGAAACAATGTTAACACACCTAGTTCTATTGAACTACTCCTTACTCAAACATTATGGAAGTATGGGTACTCTCTTGTAATGGTTTATTTGAATGAAGAAGATGGCCTATTAGCATCTCTCAAAAACTACCAGTCATTGTAATTACTGGGGGTATTTTTCCTATTATTACATTAGCTTTGTAAATCCTCTTGTTTAATATTGAATAAGATCAGTGGCTAATAAACATGTTTTAAGAATTAAACTGACATTTGACCCGTTATGTGTCAGGAGGGACAGCGGTGTGGCGTGTCTGCTTAGAAAACTAACAGTTTGACTATAAAATCAAATTATAAATGAAACCTTCTCCTATATCCCCCCAAATTAATCGAAATTCACTAAAGTCCTACACCCAGTGAATTGGGGACCAAATAGTTAAAGTAAACAGGTCCTTCAACGTTAACGAGTATTGAGTCCTTCCTCCTGACCACGCTTCTTCAGGAGGTGTTGCACAAGTACCTTAGCTTTTGGGGTGTAAGAGTAGGAGTTAAGAGCATCTTCCAGATAATATCACAATGTTAAATGTTGACTCAGCAGTGACTGTGCTGTGCTCCTATTGTTTCCATATACGAGGCTGGAATGTAAGTATCTTATTCTTGGTGAGTGATTTTTGTTAAATCCCTTCCTTACAGATCAATTTACTGTTTTTGCCAGTCATTCATTGACAGTATTTGAAACATCAGAATCTCTTTTGTGGTAATCAGCTGGATTGCTCCTTTATCTAAAATTTTCAAGAGCCAGGAAGAGAAGACAGGATATATAGGTGGCAGCTTATGTTGCTGTACAAATACTTTGATAAGAATTTTCAAGATTTTGCTCTTAAAAGTTCCTAACTAAAACTTCTATTAATAACCAGTGATGGAAAAAAATGTAGAAAATATATAACCAATTAATGATGTTTATTGACTTTTTTTTTCAAATTAACTACTCGTGCTTGTTGGATTGATATTAAACTGTTGAAATTCCATTTCAGACAGCTCTAGTGATAACTACGTAGATAAAACAGTTCAACATTAATATTGAAATTCAGTGGTAATTAGTAGAATTAAATATGGAATTTCAACATTAACCATTTATTAAGAATAATTACTTAAAATTTAAACTTGTTGTTGTACAAAGTTATATAAAAATAACTACCTTAAATCTTTTGTTCTCATTATATTGGTCTGAAGTGCAGACCCTTCTGTGAAAGAATGGTATGAAAGGAAAAGTTGTGTTATGATCTATGTTTATGTTTGAACATCATCTGGAAAAAGAGTGAAGTCTCATTAACCAGAATAAACACACAGCCGGATAAAATCTTCATATCATGGGGTAATGGAATGTCAATTTTTAACTTAAGAGCGAACTATAATGAGCACATCGCTTTGGAACTAAGACTTTTTGAGTAACAGAGTGCTTTATTTTTCAGATGCTGTGCCACTTTTTCTGAGGCTGCTGCATTCACCCCATCAAAATGTGTGTGAGCAAGCAGTATGGGCTTTAGGCAATATCATAGGTTTGTGTTACTCTTAATATAAAAATTCAAAAGTTTCTTTTGAAATCAAATTAATAAACCAATTTGGATTCTGTTAATTTTTTTAATAATTAGAAGTATACTTAACTATAAGAGCAATGGGATTGGCTCAGATACATGGAGTTAATTTCCCTCAAAATGCTCTTTGCTTAATTCTCTCTGCTTTCTCTCTTGCCCCTCCTCTAACACATACATCTTTCAGTCCAGGTACAAGAAAAGGAAAGAATGTCTGGCAAACAAATCACATGCATAATGTTATAATGAAAAACAACTTAAAATAGTTTTCATTATAAAGGCTCTGGATCGCCATCAGAGCTCACACTTCAGTCACCAGAGCTTTCATTGTACTTAATCTTTCTGGTCAAGCTTTTGGCTAACCTAAAACTTTTGTTTGTCTCTTCTTGATTATTGGTGTAAGTGATATACCACAGAGATATTCAAATATCATAGTGGTGAGTGTAGTCTAAAAATGTCAGCCCCACCATATCTTAAATTACTGAAATGTAGTGGGTTTAGGTATTGCTTAGTTTGTGACAATAAGCTAAGCCCTGGTCTACACTGGGGATCAATCTAAGTTATGCAACGTCAGCTATGTGAATAAAGTAGCTGAAGTCGACGTACTTAAATCGACTTCCCGTAGTGTCTTCACCGCGGTGAGTCGACTGCTGACGCTCTCCCATCGACTCCGCCTCTCGCGGAGCTGGAGTACAGGAGTTGATGGGAGAGCGCTCGGGGATCGATTTATCGCATCTAGAGTAGACGCGATAAATCGATCCCCACTGGATCGATCGCTGCCCGCCGATCCGGCGGGTAGTGAAGACATACCCTAAGTTTTCAAAAACTCTGATTCTAGTTTTTCTTAAAAGATTAGTACAGTACTGTTACTTGGACCTGGGAGTGATGGTGTTCCTTTCCTGTTAACAATACAGCTTGGATATGACAATGCTGAGGACCATATAAGTATCTAGGTGGATGCAATACACCTCAAACTGTGGGGATAGCATAGTAAACTGAAAATGTTCTATTCAGTTTCAAGCAATATGGAACTTGTCACAGAGCATTTTGTCTGGATCAGTAACCTGTTATGATTGATGGGTTTCTATTATACCTTGTCCTCGTGGTCGTTAATTGCTATCTTTTTCATTTGTTTTTAATCATGGATAACTACCTCTTTCGAATTCAGCAAATCACTTTTTGCTAGCACAAAGTATATTTAATGTGATGTGAATCAAAAAGGGGAGCAGTTCTTTACTGCATGTTGAATGAGGTGTTTCTTGTACAGTCAATTGGCAAGTCACATTTTGACTAATGGTGTCTATTGCATCCAAAGGTTTAGACAATTTTACATAGATATTAATAGTGAAGGATTTAAGTTTACAAAAATGAAGACATACTGGAAAGCTAATTTTGTCACTTGCCAGGATGTTGAATATTCAATGTGCTATTCTCTGCATTGCCAAAATAAAGTATATAAAGAAGTTACTCATAGTTTCTCGACTACCTTCTACTCAGATTACTGAACAATTTAATAATGCTAAACAGTGGGTATTGGGGAAACTGTCTGTCCTGAGAAGTTTTCCTTTTGTGGGTATGTAGAAATCAATGTTATACCCCTGGTTCCAGATTTGCAGCTGACCTGAGGCCCAACCTCATGCCCAAATTGTGCTTGGAAACTGGAAGAATAGCCCTTGGGTCATCTAACAACTAGGCCCTTGGTAATTTAACATGAGAACGTGGTTCTACAACACCATCCCTTGTAAATAGTTTTTACCTTCATAAAACGATTTAATGTTTACACAGGTGATGGACCCCAGTGTCGAGATTATGTTATTAGTCTTGGAGTGGTGAAACCTCTGCTGTCCTTCATCAGTCCATCTATTCCCATAACATTCTTAAGGAATGTTACTTGGGTCATGGTCAACTTATGCCGTCACAAAGACCCACCTCCGCCAATGGAAACCATTCAGGAGGTGAACTGAATTATTCATTTATAAATTAAATTAAATAAGTTAAATTGTTGAATGTCTTGAATATTTCTATTTAATATTAACACTCTGTCTCCCCTCCAGATTCTTCCAGCCCTCTGTGTTTTAATTCACCACACAGATGTAAATGTGAGTAAAAACATTTTCCACAAATTATTTTGTGACCAAGTCATGGACTGGTCACGGGCCATGAATTTTTGTTTACTGCCTGTGACTAAAAGGTAGCCTTATCTATAAGTACATATGAGTGAATAATTTTTCTTTCTTTATTTTATTTTTGGTTTGGGGATCAAACTGAAAAATCGGAAGGAAAAAATGAGTTTGGATTGAACCAAAACTGGATTTTTTTTCAAAAAACTTAACTTTAAATATAATAGTCTTATAACTTAGATCTTGGCACATCTTCTTTAGACCTTTCTCTCTTTATGGGTTTGACACTGTATTTTTTTTTTGTTTGTTTGTTTGTTTTTAATGTTAGATATTGGTAGATACAGTCTGGGCCCTCTCCTACCTAACGGATGCTGGCAATGAACAGATCCAGATGGTGATAGACTCTGGAATAGTCCCTCATTTGGTTCCCCTTCTCAGCCACCAAGAAGTTAAAGTGCAAGTAAGTTTAGATACTATATTTTGAAATAAATTAATATATAGCTAATATACAGTACTGAAGTGGCTTACTTTTTAAATTGTTTAGTTATCACGATGATTGATTAAAGGTTTATCAGCAAACATTTATTTGCAAAATACTTAGGTTATCAGTGTCAGTTATCTGCTTTGTGGTAACATTTGAATAAAATAATATTTTGCTCTGTTCACTGTTTTCATGCTTAATTTACAGATAAAATATTATTCTAAATGTTCAAGTCTTTAAATACAGTGTGTTGTTTCAGACTGCTGCACTCAGAGCTGTAGGCAACATTGTTACTGGTACTGATGAACAGACACAAGTAGTTCTGAATTGTGAAGCTCTTTCACACTTCCCAGCACTGCTGACACATCCCAAAGAAAAAATTAATAAGGTATGTAAATAAGTTTTGGGTGTGAAATTTACCCACAGGAATAGATGTTATTTATTTGCCCTGTATTGTAAATATTGACCAAATGTCAGTATGACACTGTTTTCCCCAAATACTGTAACCTGATAATACATCTTTGTTGCAATACCAGTTTCTTGCCGACAAGTCTTGATCTTGCTATATTTTCCTTTACTTATTTAAATTAAACCATTAGTATCCTAAAAGAATCTGAGGAACTGCATAGCTACCTTACCAAATATAGTAATTTGTTGTAATAACTTCATCAGTATCTGGGCATTCCAGAATGTGTTATAAACCAGTATTCATCAATCCATAATCCCAGCAGTGAGTTGAAATTTGTATGAAATTTGATCTTTATTTTGTGCTGCAAGGTTGGCGATTTCCTAGGGAAAACTAATTTAGATCAGGGCACTGGTAAATACTGGCTTAAACCGGGAAAAATAATTGCATCGGTGTTCAGCAAGCATAGAACGAAACTTTTCAGACTTTGGGTATATCATTCAAAACTGAGGAATAAGAACATAAGACTGTCCCTACTGGGTCAGACCAAAGGACCATCTAGTCAGTATCCTGTCTTCCGACAGTGGTCAGTGTCAGGTGCCCCAGAGGGAATGAACAGAACAAGTAGTCATCAGGTGATCCATCCCCTGTCGCTCATTCCTAGCTTCTGACAAACAGAGGCTAGGGACACCATTCCTGCCCATCCTGGCTAATAGCCATTGATGGACCTATCCTCCATGAATTTATCTAGTTCTTTTTTTGAACCCTGTTATGGTCTTGGCCTTCATAAGGAGTGAAGGAGTTTCACAGGTTGACTGTGCATTGTATGAAGAAATACTTCCTTTTATTTGTTTTGAACCTGCTGCCTATTAATTTCATTTGGTGACCCCTAGTACTTGTGTTATGAGGGGTAAACAAAATTTCCTTATCTACTTTCTCTACACCAGTCATGATTTTATGGTCCTCGATCATATCTCCCCTTAGCTGTCTCTTTTCCAAGCTGAAAAGTCCCAGTCTTATTAATCTCTCCTCATACGGAAGCCGTTCAATACCCCTAATCATTTTTGTTGCCCTTTTCTGAATCTTTTCCAATTCCAGTATCTTTCTTTTTTGAGATGAGGCGACCACATCTGCACATGGTATTCAAGATGTGGGCATACCATGGATTTATATAGCAGCAGCATGGTATTTTCTGTCCTATTATCTATCCCTTTCTTTGATTATTCCCAGCATTCTGTTCGCTTTTTTGACTGCTGCTGCACATTGAGTGGATGTTTTCAGAGACCTATCCACAATGACTCCAAGATCTTTCTTGAGTGGTAACAGCTAATTTAGACCCCATCAGTTTATATGTATGGTTGGGATTATGTTTTCCAATGTGCATTACTTTGCATTTATCAACATTAAATTTCATCTGCCGTTTTGTTGCCCAGTCACTTTGAGAGGGCCTTTTTTAGCTCTTTGCAATCTGCCTGGGTCTTAACTGTCTTTAGTAATTTTGTATCATCTGCAAATTTTGCCACCTCACTGTTTACTCCTTTTTTCCCAATCATGTATGAATATGTTGAATAGGACTAGTCCCAGAACAGACCCGTGGGGGACACCACTATTTACCTCTCTCCATTCTGAAAACTGACCATTTATACCTATCATTTGTTTCCTGTCTTTTAACCAGTTATCAATCCATGAAAGCACCTTCCCTCTTATCCCATGGCAGCTTACTTTGTGTGAGAGCCCTTGGTGAGGGACCTTGTCAAAGTCTTTGTGAAAATCTAAGTACACTATATCCACTGGATCCCCTTGGTCCACATGCTTGTTGACCCCCTCAAAGAATTCTAGTGGATTGGTGAGGCATGGTTTCCCTTTACTAAAACCATGTTGACTCTTCCTCAACAAATTATGTTCATCTATATGCCTGACAGTATTGTTCTTTATTATAATTTCAACAAGTTTGCCCGGTACTGAAGTCAGGCTTACAGGCCTGTAGTTGCCAGGATCACCTCTGGGGCCTTTTTAAAAATTGGCATCACATTAGCTATCCTCCAGTCATCTGGTACAGAAGCTGATTTAAATTATAGGTTACAGACTACAGTTAGTAGTTCTGCAATTTCACATTTGAGTTCCTTCAGAACTCTTGGGTGAATACCATCTGCTCCTGGTGACTTATTCCTGTTTAATTTATCCATTTGTTCCAAAACCTCCTCTAATGATACCTCAGTTTGGGACAGTCCCTCACATCCTTAGCCATGAAGACCGATGCAAAGAATTCATTTAGTTTCTCTGCAATGGCCTTATCATCCTTGAATGCTCCTTTAGCACTCGATTGTCCAGTGGCCCCACTGGTTGTTTAGCAGGCTTCTTGCTTCTGATGTACTTTAAAAAAAATTTTTTTTTTTTGCTATTACTTTGAGTCTTTGGCTAACTGTTCCTCAAATTCTTTTTTGGCCTTCCTAATTGTATTTTTACACTTCATTTGCCAGTGTTTATGCTCCTTTCTATTTTCCTCACTAGGATTTAGCTTCCACTTTTTAAAGGATGCCTTTTTGCCTCTCACTGCATCTTTTACTTTGTTTAGCCACAGTGGCTCTTTCTTGATTCTCTTACTATGTTTTTTAATTTGGGGTATACATTTAGGTTGAGCCTCTATTATGGTGTCTTTTAAAAGTTTCCACGCAGCTTACAGAGATATCACTTTTGTCACTGTACCCTTTCATTTGTGTTTAACTAATCTCCTCATTTTTGTGTAGTTCCCCTTTCTGAAATTAAATGCTACAGTGTTAGGCCCCTGTGGTGTTTTTCCTGCCACAGGGATATGAAATTTAATTATATTATGGTCACTATTACCAAGCGGTATAACTATATTCACCTCTTGGACCAGGTCCTGTGCTCCACTTAGTACTAAATCAAGTCCTATAGGCTTGGTCATCCACTACATCAAAGCTGGTCTTCTGCTACAAAGTGTTACGTGGCCAAATGGACCTGGACTGGTAGTCTATGCTTCTGATTGCTTGATGCTTTAATCCTATAACTCTGTATTACTGTTTTCATATAATCAATTTTTCTTTACATTCATTTATACAGCATTGGAAACTGAAATGAGTTCTGACATTTATAACATCCTTGAGAAAATACCAAACCAAAATGTATACAGATATTCTAGAGTTCAGTATTATAATTACATATTAGTAGTATTCCCACTGCAGTTTAATTTAGGGTTGTACAAATAAATTAATCTACAAATCTACTGCCTTATGTAATCACAAATTACATATGTAACTAAAACTAAGCATAATGTGGTGTATATTAATGAAACAGTTTTTAAAGTAGTCCCAGTTTAAAGCATTTTCCAACAGTTTTTTTCCTGGGGTGGTAAAAATCATGATTTTACCTAGTAAAAACCACTCTGGTAAATACCATGTCATCCCTGTCTGTAAGCATTAGGCTTGTTTACCTATGATATAAAGGGTCTTCTGTGTTTACATTAAAAACTAAAAACACCATAATGCTGTTTTGTTTATTAATAAAAGTAACCTGAACTTGGAATACAGTTGATTAAGCTGATTCTCTCTTGGAAATTATGAAAGGTAATTGGATGTTTGTTTGAGTGGGGTGTGTGGGTGTGTGTGTGATTGGAAACATTCTAATTTAACACTTTATACTTTTGAATATTAATGTTTTATAATGTGTTTTTGAGGGAGAGAATGTACAAAGGCTACATGGGTGCACTGATAAAGTGCTGATTTCGGAGTGCATTTGAGGCATGTTGAAATTTTGGGGAGGGGGTTTTCTTGGTTTGGTGTGGGTTTTTTTCAACATTGCCAGTGATTAGTGCCCAAAATAAGCTCACCAGCTGAATATAGACAGCCTAAAAATCTCTCTAACAGGTTCATTGACATAAATGTTCCTGTGATTTGATCCAAGAGTTTAGCAGAATGTTAAGTCAGAAAATCTGTAAGTCACATTTACGCTGTTCCATGCTTTTAAGTTGAATAAACAGTTTCCAATGAAATTGTCACACCAAGACACATGAAATGAAGGGTTTATATAAAGTAATGGTACTGATGGGTAGCCAAGTTATCCAATTAACCATAATAATGATGGTAGTCCTCAGTTTAATGACTTATCTTCAAAATTATTGCTTCTGCTGGAGTAATAGTTATCTTGAATAAAATTGCTAAAATATTCTAACTTTGGGTGTCCTAGTGACTTAAATCTTGAAGCTGCATGAAAGTTTGAGCCTACATTGTAATTCTTGTGAAAGTCATCTGCAGTCATCTTTCTTATGGAGGGTTTTATGTGACTGTGTCTAACATAACTGTGACTATACCACATTGGGCACTCAGCTTCATGATCAATACCTTGGTTGGGTTGAGTGTTGCCATTCTTGCAGTTTATAACTTTCTTGTACATGATGTAAAGTAAAATCGCAGCTTATGAACTAAAGTGTCTGCATTTGTATGTGGGCCTGTTCTTGTTCATATTAAAGACAACAAATTTCTGCTAACTTCACTGTAAGTAGGAGGATAATCACCTTCCTACTCTATGCATTTTGGATCAAGTTTTCCGCTTGCCTGGCGGTAGTTGAAAAATCTTGTAAATTTAGTGAGAATCTTGTATTTTTTAATTAATATTGGCCTGCCTGTGTTGAATTTTATCCAAGTTTGCAGGTCTAGAATGCTCTGGTTTTTTTCAGTTGTTGGTTTGTAACTGTTAATCATGCACTGAGATCTGATATAGGTCTTGGGTAACTTTTAGCATTGATCTCAGCCTTGGGAAAACTTCACCCAGACTGGGGTTGATTTTTTTTCTTTTCTTTTCTTTTTCTTTCTTTCTTTCTTTTTCCTTTGGACAAAGAAAACATTAGTTTTGTTATCTTCCTGGTAGCAGTGAGCAAATACTAGAGGGCCTTAATCTTAAAAATGTGCATTAAATCAGTAAATACACTTTTTCTGGATACTTCGGAACAGGGACAAGGAGGAACAGATCTTGCAGGGGCTAGGGAGAAAAGAGTGCCTTTGTCACTGTCTGTCGAGCGATGTTGATGTACAACTCCCTTTGGAGCCCATCCAGCCCTCCGCTGAAAATAATGCTGCTATTATGAATGGACTTCCAGGATATGGAATGAACTGTGAGGGTTCATTGGTGTTGTGATATATTTGTAGGAAAAAAATACCAGTTAATCTACCAGGTTTAGAGCAGATGGCAATAATCCTGTTTGGTCTCCCATTGTAAAAATCACCTTTGTTGCCCTGTCCTTTTAATATACCTAATTGGGTTATTGTTTGCAGTGTTGTAGCTGTGATGGTCCCAGGATATTAGGGTGTCTAGGTGGGGCGAGGTAATGTCTTTTATTGGATCAACTTTTCTGTTTGTGAAGGAGATAAGTGACAGCCTGACAGTCTCACCAATCAAAATTGATCCAATAAATGTTCACCTCACCCACTTTGTCTCTAATTGGATTATTATGATTCTTAATGCAACTACATACAGAACTACACTATTTAAATCTTTAATTGTATTGACTGAGTTCTAAAGTATGTTTTCAACTTAATTTATGATTTTACTAGAACTGTAAATGCATGAAATCTTGCTGGAATGGAAATAGAATATTCAAATATTTCTTGTTTTTTTTAAAAGCTTATCTTTTTTTTCTTCCTGCAGGAAGCTGTATGGTTCCTATCTAACATCACTGCAGGAAACCAGCAGCAAGTTCAGGCGGTGATAGATGCAAACCTTGTTCCAATGATAATACACCTTTTAGATAAGGTGGGATAATAAATATTTAATTTTGTACTGTTAGCCCTGCTTTTTCCTCTTGCCGTTATTGAATTTCTGATGATTACCTAGACTTAAATCTGTTTTCTGTTTTAATTGGTTTGAGCTAAGAGTAAAAAGCAAATTTGCCTATATCACTAATTAAAGCGTAATACTTTAGTTAATGCAAGTCTAAATTTCCCTTCATATGTCAATGCTTGTCTAATCCATAGAGGAAAAGTAGTTTAGGGAAATGACCTTTTGAGAAATATCTTCTTACTACTCTAAATCTCATTACATTCATTTTTAATAAAATAACTATAGCCATTCAGAAGTTATTGTGGCAAAATTCTACACTTCCTTGTAGAAAGAAGAGGTGGGAATGAGCCTATACTCAAATGTCTGAGGATTTCAGCAGACTTCATGAGAGTCAAGAATCAGTGTAATAATTTTTAGTAGAATACTTTTCAAGCATTCTGTTTAATCTTGAAAATTTTCTTTTGCCTTTTTTCTTTACTTGGAAACATTATAAGGAATTCTTCAGTGAGGACATTTGCAAACCCAGTTGCTTAGGTTGCCATACTTACCTACTTCCAGCAGAGTAATCCTAAATTAATCACGGCCTGGAGCAGGAGGCCACAGAACAGATGATGTCCCATTTTAAATCTTTACCACTGTAATTTAACAAAAGTAGATATCTATAATAGAAATAACTATATATTTGTGGTAGTTGTCTGCTAGCAGCTCTCCCTGCTATAGGTATGGAATTCCACATATATGTTCATTCCTCTATCTTTGGTGGGGGAAAATCATAGTAGCTGTTAGCAGACATTCCAGGATGCTTTCACTTCCCATCACCATATCAGTCTCTAATTGCTGGAGAGAAGAGGCTTGCTACTGTTGTACTAAGGTTTAAATATGATGGTTGGGTATGTGTGTGGAATACCAAGTGCAGGATCAGTTTTTATCTTGCTTAGTCTGTTTATTTTATTTTTCCCTTATTTATTTTTAGTCTCCCGGTGACAGAAGACTAAGGGGATTAACCTCCTGGTTAACGGAGAGAATAGGAGGTTACAGCACAGGAGGACAAAATCACAAGTGGGAGGAATAAGGAGTGACAAGATCATCATGAGTCTCTTACTAGTAGCATGTAGACTTACGAGCACAGATTTGTAGCTTAGTTACTACCAATATGTTATACATCCTGAGAACAGAATTCCATAAAGGAAGCATAATTTTCTATTAAATATAGTTTTTTTGGGGGTGAAATTAATAAACAGACTGAGTAGGCTAAAAGATCACTGAGATCAAATGCTGACTCACAGCTTCTAAAACGATATGGCATATCAAAATTAACACAGTGCAATGTCTCTTCATTGCTATGTCTGTTACAGGCTGCTGGTATAGGATGGAAGGGGATAATACTACAATTACTTCTTTCTTCTTCCCATCGCTTCTGAAGTTCTCTGCTCTGGGTCTAAAGTGTTTTCCCCTGTCTTGTAGCTGAAGGCTGTGCAAGTAGGACAGTGGCACATAGCTATAGTGGGTTGGATAGGAGGTAGAAGAATGAAGGTAGTACTGGGGAAAACAAACTCCTTCCTCTCCCTCACTAGATCCTAGCATTTTACAAGATTTTTCTGCCTTTCTTTTATTTTAACCTCAACCTAAACTAATGGGGACACAACCCGTAAGGTACACTGTGGAATCCCTACCATTGGAGGTTTTTAAGAACAGGTTAGACAAACACCTGTCAGTAATAGTCTAGGTATATTTGGGATCCTGGCTTGGCCTGGGGGGATGGGCTAGATGACTTCTCAAGGTCCCTTCCAGTGCTATTTTTCTGTAATTCCAAATAATGTACAGCCAACTATTATTGTATTTTAGGGTGATTTTGGTACTCAGAAAGAAGCTGCTTGGGCTATAAGCAACTTAACAATCAGTGGAAGAAAAGATCAAGTAAGTTAAATCTTTCTCCAAAATTAGTTTACTTCTTACCTTTTTCCCTCTTTGAGTGTATTTGACATGTTACAAGTGGGAGATTCAGTAATTTAAATTACCTGCCAAAATAGAGTCTCCTCAGACTCCTCCTTTCATTGATTTACGGTGATTAAGGGAAACAGATGTAAGAGCATGCTCAGGTTTCCATTTTTGGCCTGACCTAAGAATAGGAGTATCAGTGGTGACTAATTTTGAGGGATTAAAATTAGTTGCATTGTACTGCAGTACACCTTAATATTTATCTGAATAATTGCACTCAGTCTCCATTAATATTCTTGAGCTGTAGGTACCTTTACTCTTGCTGGGAACAAAGAGTACAAAAAATAAGTGTGAAAACCATTCAGGGATGGCTTTTTTTTCTAATGGTCCAACTTCTGTCACTGAAATTACTGGGCCAAGAGAGCATACCAGGTAAATTAGGTGGGAAGCAGTCTCCAAATTGCAATAATATCTGGACACAAAATATAGATTAAGTTTATGTCCTACTTCAAAAAGATAAGGTTCAAACTTTTTTTTTGATTGAATTGGAGTCTATCAAAATGCAACAATCAATGCCTTTCATTGTGTAATCGAAATTTAATAGCATTTTACTTTATGCAGCATAAAAATTCATATTTATTTTTTTATGATTTTTTAAAAAATGTTCTACACTGAACTTCTAAAAGCACTGGTTTCTAGAACATTTCTTTCAAGTGCTTGTCTCTATGTGAGTACGCATGCTCCCAGAGCTGGAGAATTTTGAAAGCAGTGTCCGTTGGTCCCCACATGTGCCCTGGTTCACCTCCTGCTTCTGACCAAGGAGATAAGGGATGGTGCGGGGGGGCAGACCAAGCGCCTCTCCAGTTCCTTCCCACTGCCACATATTTGGGTCAGAACCTTCGGTGTCTGAAGTTTCAGTTTTCTCCTTTCTGTGAATATATTTAGATGCCTGTAAATAGTTTTTATAGTTCTAGAGTTATAAAATTTTTGTCTGATAATTTTAGCGTTAGTCTCCCTGACTTGGGGAGCACATCCCCTGTACCCGTTAGGGTACTGGACTATGCCCAGGACTCTAGGCTTCAAAATTTGTCTCCCTGCCTGTGATCCTTCTCAGTCAGCGACAACCACTAGTGCTGCTTGTACTGCCTCATGGCAAGCCCACTGTCTGCCGTATGCTCGCTGGCCATACCGAGAAAGGGTGGGAACCTGGCCTTAAGCCAATAGAAGAGTCCAGAAGGCCACAATTGGACCCAGGCCAGGGACCCTCCACCCCAAACAGTGATGCTTCCTGCTACGAGGTCTGACTCATGAGCAAGGGAGTCTACCCCCAACAAATCCAATAAGACCCTGCCAAAGGAAGAGCAGGGAGCATTCTCATAATCATGAGACTGTCTTTCTCCAAATCCACTTTAAAGAAGTTGGATTCAGACTTGACTAAACTGTGCAAGTCTGTAAGCTCAGCCGAAGAGAACTTCAGACATCCTAAGTCTGAGACATGACAAGAAAGCCCATGAGTCTAGGGCTCCATCGGCTCTGGACTGTGATCCGGCAATGCCTCTGGTACCCCCAGACACAAACCCAGGGATCTGCCAGAACTGATGAAAACCGAACACAGAGCACTGGTTACCTGTGGTACCATCTTTGTCTTCAACAGCTGTGGCACAGACGGTCTTTGCTGCAGCTCTGGCAGTTTGTGCAGACAGGTCCCCGCTCACTCCAGGAATTGCTGAGACTTACACTCCTCCTAAGGACATCTTTGCTCTTGCAGACCTGGAGTCTCCCGATCCATCAGTTTCCTCCCTCTTGAGGGAGGTTATAACTCCCCTAGGGAGCTGGCCTTTGGGATGAGTCTGTCTCCCATTCCATCTTCAGGCTATGATTTCTATCCAACAACTCTGTTGGTATAACTTTTTGAATGGGAATCAACTTTCTTCTCATTGGGAGATTCCAAACTGCCCAATGAATCTTTATTCCTTCCTCCAAGATACAATGTTCCAGTCAGAAAACCTGGAATACCTTGGGACCACCCTCCATCTCATTGCCTGTCTCAGAACCATCGGTACCCCATGCCATGGGGACCTCTGCAGCCCCTATTTGACCCATCATGTTGGCCGTACTGGGAGCTGTGGGACCAGTACCATCCCACAGCGTCAGTCCGGTGTGCTAGGGAGTCACCCCTTCCCACCCCTCTAAGAGGCCAACTGAAGCTGCCTCCATATCCTACTGAGGAGTATTCACTGGATCCAGTGGTTCCACTGAAACTGAGGAGATTGCCATCTTTGTCTCCAGATGAGGCAGTGATTCCAATGTTTCCATACCCCCACCCCCGTGACTATCAGGAGTTCCAGGAATTCCTTTGCAGAAGTGGAGGGGAGCTACAGATTCCTCATGAGTAGGTTCAAGATCCTCAACACAAGCTCCTGGACATCCTTCAGACCCCTGGCTCCAGTTAAATAGTATTTCTGTTAGCCAACTGGAGTAGTCTGGCATATTCCAGATACCTGTGCCCCTACCCCAGGAGGGCAGAGAAACTGTACTATGTTCCAGCCAAAGGGGCAAAATTTCTGTTTTGTCACACTGCTCCTAACTTTTTAGTCATCCAGGCCACCATGGAGAGATATAGGCATCAACACCCCAGTCTATCCTGACTGACAAGGAGGGCAAGCGTCTTGACTTATTGGGAAAGAAGGTCTTTTCTTCTAGTCTCTGGTTCAGGATATCCATCTACCCAGCGCTAATGGCTAAGAATGACTTCTGATCTATTCAGATTCATGGAATTTACTGATAGTCTCCCACATCAGGACTGCACTTGTTTCCAGGCTCTCATAGAAGACAAAATAGTTTCCAGGCCCACTCTCCAATCAGCAATAGATGCAGCTGATATAGCTTCCAGGGCAACTACTATTGCCATCATAATGCGTAGAGTTGTGGCTCCATACTTTGGGGTCTAGCACACAGTTGAGTCACATCTGTTTAATCAGAAGACAGATGAGTCCTTATGGATTTTAAAGGGCTCCGGGGCCACCCTCAGCTCCCTGAAAATATATATACCTGCCCCAAAGAGAAAATTCTACTGACAGACTAGCTTAGACAGATGGCTTAGTAGTACTTCCACCAGAGAAGACAGAGGTTCAAAAGACTCATTTCTCTGCAGCTTCTGCAACAGATTTCTCATCCCAGTCCTAGCCCTCAGCTTAAATTATTTTTGATGGGAGCTTGAAAGCGGCAACCACTAAGTCCAAAAACTGACTTCCATACACCATTTGAGGGTCATCTAGCACACTTTTTCAACACCTGGAGTGCAATAACAGATAAATGGGTGCTGAACATCATTCATTCCAGTTATACAACAGTTTGTCCCTGCCCCCTCAAAAAACCCCTTCCCCATCCTCTCGGGGGCGGGGGGGCACTCTAATGAGAATATTCTCAAACAAGAAGTAGAATTTCTCATACAGCAAGGAGCAATAGAGTGGGTTCCTCTTCGGTACCAAGGGAATGATTTTTACTTGACATGGTTCATAGAACATAGGAAGGCAGCTTTGGAGACCCATTCTTGACCTTCATAATTTCACCCACTTTATTTACGAACTCAAGTTTTGAATGATGATGTTGTCATCTATGATTTCCATTCCTGGAAAAGGACATGTGGTTTACAGTTTTTGACATGAAAGACTCTTACTTTCATGTGGACATCCACTCCACTCCCAGACGCATTCTCGGATTCATGGTGGATTCAAACCACATTCAATACAGAGTATTCCCTTTCAGCATTGCTACCACCTCCAGTATCTTTACCAAGGTGTGTTCTGTTGTAGCAGCCTATATCAGATGCCATGGTTTCACTGTTTTCCCTTACCTCAGTGACTGTCCCCTGTCACCATGTCACACCAAGAGGCCTATGCATCAACTTTGACAATGACTCCTCTCCTTTTTGGGGGTCAGTGCAAACACCGAGAAATCCATTCTCACCCCTACAGAGACTTCATGAGGGCGTCCTTAAATTCAGTCATGGCAAGAGCTTACCTGCTGAAGGACAGGCTTCAGGCTATGAAAACAACCCCAGAGTACCAGTCCAGAGCTCTCTTTCCTAGGCTATATGGGCTCATACTTTTATGTCACACCATTTGCAATCCTTCGTCTTTGTTACTTACAAGCATGACTTCAACTTGTATTCTCACCAAACTGACATGAGCACCGTAGTGACGGTTGCCAAAGTAATATTGTCCCTGTTAAGGGGAAGAATCGCCATCAGGTGTTCATCAGCGCTCCCTTCCTCACCTCCACACTGGACAGGATGATCATTACCAATTTATCTCTGTTGGGTTGGGGAGCCCATATGAACAACCATACAGCAAAAGGCACCTGGACATCTGAAGAGTCCAGGAGGCACATCGATATTCTAGAACTACGAACAGTTCAAAGGGCTTGTGAAGCTTTTGGTCAGACCACCTGAACTATGTCAACCCTCCACTACCATTCCTGCCTCGAGTTTTGTGCAGTATTTGGCAAGACATGGCATGGGTTATTCTCATTGCCTCCAACTAGCCCAGACAGCTTTGGTTCCCTAACCTCCTACACATGTCATCACTGGTACCAATAGTTATTCCTACTTTTTCCTGATCTCCTGACCCAAAGGAATGGCAAAATCAATCATACCAACCCATGTCTGCTTCATCTCAGAGCCTGTTTTTTGGATGGGCATCATTCTTAGAGCAATCATGTTCTGAAGCTATAAAGAATATCTTTTCTAATAGTAGGAAGGATTCCACTAGAAAATGTTACTTAGAAAAATGCTTCTACTTAGCTATTTGAGTACATCAGACACCTACTTCTCAGAAGCTGCATATTTTCCTCTCAGTCTGGGCTGTGCTCTTTCCTGAAACGCAACAGATTTGTCCATCAGCTCCTTATGGATCCAATTGGCAGCAATCAGTGCATATCATCCACCTTCACAGGGCTACTGAGTCTTCATGCCCCAATGACTATTAGATTCTGTAAAGGGCAAATCAGAATCTTTCTGCCAATTTAAAACAAAAACCAAAAACACCACCTCCTCAATGGGACTTGAAACTTGTTCTATCAATACTCACTAAGCCTCATTTTGAACAATTAGCTTCTTGCTCTGTCTCCCCTATCCATGAAAGTCACATTCCTGGTGGCCATCACCTCAGCCAGGAGCGTTGGTGAACTTGGAACTCTGATGGCAGATTTTCCTTATGCTATATTCCATAAGGACAATGTTTCCACCTTAAATTCACTTCCAAAGTAGTCTGAGTTTCACCAGAACCAGTTATCATTTACCTGCATTCTTCCCAAAACCTCACGCATTCTCAGAAGAAAGGAGACTCCATTTCCTCACTGTTTGGCTAGCTTTAGCCTTTTACCTGCATAGAACAAAACCAATTAGAAAGTCTCCTGGACTTCGTCACCATGATGGAAACAGTCAGGGGTCAGGTGGTATCTTATCAGAGAATCTCAAAATGGACCTCGGGCTGTAATTTGCTCGATTAGTTATCTAATCTTCCACCTCCTCTTGGGGTAAGAGCTCGTTCTACAAGAGTACAAGCGATGTCTATGGCATTGCTTCAAGAGGTATTTCTACTTGACATCTGCAAGGCAGCTACATGGAGTTCCATCCACACATTTGTGAGACACTGCCTTGATACAAGCAGTCTTTTATTCAGCTCTGCTGTCTACACCCTTGCATCCTCCTACTATTTGAGTATTGCTTGTCTCTCATCCACTGTAGAATACACATAGGACCAGCACTGGAAGGAGAGAAAGTTGTTTACCTTATAGTAGCTGGAGGTTCTTTGAGATGTATGGTCCCTATCTGTATTCCACTACCTACCCTACTTCCCCTCTGCTTCAGATCTTCTCTGATTCATGGTAGAGAAGGAACTGGAGAGGCAGCGAGTCCATGCTGCCCTTTTATCTCCTCTGTCAGAAGCATGAGGTGAGCCCATGCACACATGCGGACCAACAGACACTGCTTTCAAAATGCTCCAACTTGGGGCACATGGAGCATATTTGCACCCACAGTGGAATACAGATAGGGACCACACATCTCAAAGAACCTCCATTTCTGTAGTACCTTATAGTAGGGCTGTTGATTTAATTGCAGTTAACTCACGCGATTAACTTAAAAAAATTAATCGTGATTAAAAAAATTAATCGCAGCTTTAATTGCACTGTTAAACAAATATTTATATTTAATAGACAGAAGAGACAAGAAGGAAAGACTACATGAAATAAGAAAAAAGTTTATTCAAAGTATATACTGAACAGTATAAGAAAGTTGCCTACCTTATAGTACTTTAGGTACTATACTGTAAGGTAGGGCTGTCAAGCGATTAAAAAAATTAATTGCGATTAATCGCACGATTAAACAATAATAAAATACTATTTATTTAAATGTTTTTGGATATTTTCTACATTTTCAAATATATTGATTTCAATCACAACATAGAATAGAAAGTGTACAGTGCTCACTTTATATTATGATTTTTATTACAAATATTTGCACTGTAAAAATGATAAAAGCAATAGTATTTTTCAGTTCACTTCATACAAGTTCTGTAGTGCATTTTCTTTATCATGAAAGTGCAACTTACAAATATATATTTTTGTTACATAACTGCACTCAAAAACAAAACAATATAAAGCTTTAGAGCCTATAAGTCCACTCAGTCCTACTTCTTGTTCAGTCAATCACTAAGACAAACAGGTATGTTTATATTTATGGAAGATAATGCTGCCTGCTTCTTATTTACAGTGTCACCTGAAAGTGAGAACAGGCATTCACATGGCAATTTTGTAGCTGGCGTTGCAAGGTATTTACATGCCAGATATGCAAAACATTTGTATGCCCCTTCATACTTCGGCCACCATTCCAGAGGACATGCTTCTATGCTGATGACACTTGTTCAAAAAGTAGTGTATTAATTAAATTTGTGACTGAACTTCTTGGGGGAGAATTGTATGTCTCCTGCTCTGTTTTACCCACATTCTGCCATATATTTCATGTTATAGCAATCTCAGATGATGACCCAGCACATATTTTTCGTTTTAAGAACACTTTCACAGCAGATTTGACAAAACACAAAGAAGGTACCAATGTGAGATTTCTAAAGATAGCTGCAGCACTTGACCCAAGGTTTAAGAATCTGAAGTGCCTTCCAAAATCTGAGCGGGACAAGGTATGGAGCATGCTTTCAGAAGTCTTAAAAGAACAACTCTCCAATGCAGAAATTACAGAAAAAAGAAAATCAACCATCTGCTGGTGCAGGAGTGGGCAAACTTTTTGGCCCAAGGGCCATATCGGGGTGGGGAAATTACATGCAGGGCCATGAATGTAGGGCTGGGACAGGGAGTGCGGGGTGTGGGAGGGGGTGCGGTGTGCAGGAAGGGGGCTCAGGGCAAGGGGTTGGGGAACAGGAGGGGTGCGGATCGTACGAGGGGGCTCAGGGAAGGGGGGTTGGGGTGCAGGAAGGGATGCACAGTGCAGGAGGGGGCTCAGGGCAGTGGTGCAGGGAGGGGTGTGGAGTGCGGGAGGGGGCTCAGGACAGTGGTGCAGGGAGGGGTGCGAAGTGCAGGAGGGGGCTCAGGGCAGGGGGTTGGGGCGTAGGAGGGGTGCAGGGTGCGGCGGGGGCTCAGGCGGGGTGCGGCAGGGGGCTCGCGGCAGGGGGTTGGGGCGCAGGAGGGGTGTGGGCTCTAGACTGGCGCCACTTACCTGGGGTGGCTACAGGGTGGCAGTGGCACACACTGGGGACAAGGCAGGCTCCCTCCCAGCCCCATGCCGCTCTGGGAAGCGGCCGGCACCACATCCCTGCAGCCCCAGGGGAGCAGAGAGCTCCGTGCTGCCCTTGCCTGTGGGTACCTCCCCTGAAGTTTCTATTGGCCCCATTCTTGGCCAATGGGAGCTTCGGTGGAGGTACCCACAGTCAAGGACAGCATGCGGAGTCCTCTGCCTCTCCTCCCCAGGGGCCGCAGGGACGTGGTGCCAGCCACTTCCCAAGCAGCGTGGGGCCTGCAGCGTGGCAATCCCGCAGGCCAGATGCAAAGCCCTGAGGGGCCAAATCTGGCCCACGGCCCATAGTTTGCCTACCCCTGTGCTGGTGGCATCTGACTCAGATGATGAAAATGAACATGTATCAGTCCATGTTGCTTTGGATTGTTATCGAGCAGAATCTGTCATCAGCATGGACACGTTCTCTGGGATGGTGGTTGAAGCATGAAGGGACATATGAATCTTTAGCGCATCTGGCAAGTAAATATCTTGCGACGCCAGCTACGGCAGTGCCAATGAGTGCCTGTTCAGACTTTCACATGACATAAACAAGAAGCAGGCAGCATTATCTCCCACAAATATGAACACACTTTTTTGTCTGAGCAAGAAGTAGGACTGAGTGGACTTGTAGGCTCTACAGTGTTACATTTTTATTTTTGCATGCAGTTATTTTTGTACATAATGCTACATTTGTAAGTTCAACTTTCATGATCGAAGTTGCACTACAGTACTTGCAATGGGGGAATTGAAAAATACTATTTCCTTTATCATTTTTACAGTGCAAATATTTGTAATAAAAATAAAGTGAGCACTGTACACTTTGTATTCTGTTGTAATTGAAATCAATATATTTGAAAATGCAGAAAACATCCAAAAATATTTAAATAAACAGTATTTTATTATTGTTTAAACAGCGAGATTAATCATGATTGATTTTTTTAATCGCTTGACAGCCCAAACTTACAGTATAGTACCTATAGTACTATAAGGTAAGCAACTTCCTTATACTGCTGAGTGCATACTTTGAATAAACTTTTTTCTTATTTCATGTAGTCTTTCCTTCTTGTCTCTTCTGTCTATCAAAAATATTTTTTTTTGTGGTGCCAGTAGCTTCCATTCCTTTTCTTGCCTCTTTTTACCTCTCACACACTATTTACTGTTACATTTTAACTTTATGTATGTTTTCTTTCCTAGGTGGCATATCTAATTCAACAAAATGTAATTCCTCCCTTTTGCAACTTGTTAACAGTAAAAGATGCTCAAGTTGTACAAGTAGTGCTGGATGGACTAAGTAATATATTAAAAATGGCTGAAGATGAAGCGGAGACCATAGCCAATCTTATAGAAGAGTGTGGAGGTATGATTTTTGAATAACTAGTTGGTGTTACTGTTGTTATTATAACTAATGGTTTGAACATTAACCACAAATATACTCATGGACTTTGCCGTTTATTGCATCTTTGTCTTATTTTTTGTTTAACTGTTTGTATCAAATCTCAGTATAAGGTTCACTTAGTGATTTGAGATATTTTAACAAACTTTTCTATTTGAAGAAACCTTAAATTGAATATATGTAGTGTATATGACCTAACTAGAAAAATATATTTCACAAATTAGTACATGGAGGGTACCTTTACCTCATAGGCTGTAAACTGAATCAGACTTGGTCAAATTATGCCCAGGTAAATTTTAAAACAAAATATTCAGTGGTAATTTTGTTAATGGCTTTCAGGCATGTTTTTATTTTTTTAAATTGTTAAACACTTAAACAGCTACCATCCAGTTGGAGCTCTCTTTGAGAAAAATAAACCATTTTAGTATTAAATGTTTAATTTAGTTACCACTACAAGTTCTGTGGAAAACTCCTACGTTGCAGGTAACTTCACTGAGATCAGAGAGTGGTGCTCCTTAAAATAAGAAATGCAAAGTCCATGGATGTATAGTATGAATAGATGAAGTTCAGGAGGGAACATTCTAAAGTGAGAGGTATTTGAGTAACTATATATTATGTTTAAAATAAACTCTTAGAACTTCTTGATATATTTAGCTGTGCCTCTATCTGCTGGATGGATAGATAGATAGATAGATACATAGTAGATATATTCTACACAGCAGTAGTACAATCTAATTGTCTAGGTAATCACCATAGTATCTGAGCACCTCAAACTTTAATCAGTTTTTATTTTCCCCAAATCTCTGGGAAACTCTTACAGTTAGAGAACTGAGGCACAGAGTGACTTGCCAAAAGTCACACAGGAAGTCTGTGGCAGAGTTGGTGATTAAACCAGATTCTCAGTTTCAATCGAGTGATTTAATTATGAATCTTTTGTAAGGCAGCATAAAACTCTCTGCTACTTATATCTTAATGTACTACTTGTTTGATAAGTATGATTAGTAGGACACATCTCAGGCTTTTTCTTTATATCTGACATAATTCTGCCATTAAGGACTTGTCTACACATGTTAAAGCGGATTAAACTAAACCGGAACAAATGTATTCCGGAGTAAGTATACACACATGCAGCTAATCAGGAACAATTCCATGGGGAGACAAGCATATATAATATATATATATATTTTGAATACTATGGAGATATGGTAGCCACAAGAGGGAGAAACTGCCTTTTGCCACTCAGTAGATAAAATGGCAAAAAAATTTTTGCTAAGGCAGAGTTAAGCTGCCCAGTGGGAGTTCATGTCCTTGCAGAACATTTAGTTCAGCAAACTTCAGGAAACCAGTAAATATGGAGTTATGATACATGTTCATGTAACCTTGACTCTGGTCCCCTAGAGCTGGGAATAGCCACTGGGATTTATCTGCATACTCTCTGCAGCTGCATTCAGTTTGTGAGTTGTAGCTGTGTTGACTGACTGGTTTAACTGTGGAGGCAATAGGTGGGACAGGTTGGAAAGGGTGTGTTTGAGCTGACAAGTTAGATTAGTTTGAGAGCCTCACAGAGCTGTGATTGTCATATGAGGAGATCAGAGTTTGCACTCACCTTGTGTATGAGTAACGGAAAGGGCAGAATGTGAAACCTGAGGAGCTAGCTATATCATTTTATTTCAAAATTGTGATAGGTTGTCTTCGGGTACATCTACCCTGGAATAAAAGACTTGAGGCATGGTTGCAGCTGGCCCAGGTCAGCTGACTCAGGCTTGAGCTGCAGGGCTAAAAATTGCAGTGTAGATGTTTGGGCTCAGGGACCCTCCCCACTTGAGTCCAAGGGCTCAGGCTCCAGGCTAAGCCCAAACAACTACACAGAAATTTTACAGCCCTGCACCAGCGACTTAGGCCAGCCATGGGTGATCAATTACTTTGTAGATGTACCATTTAGTAGCAAGGTGCTAGGGGGTGGGGAGAATCTTGACACAGGGATTATCAGCAGTCAGGTGGGTTATGAGAGCAGTCTGTGGGTTTACTGATGGGTAAGGACAAGTATAGATTTAGATGTATCCTGTGACTAAGTATAAAGTGGTTGTTAAATTTCACAAGACTCTGTCAGGAGTATAAGCTAAGTATTTTACTATAGGGCAGGGTAGTTCCTTTCCTATAGAGTGAAAAGGCAGGGTGCAAATGTGTTATGGGTGTTTTGGGGCATCACTTTAAGAGGGATAGTTAAGGTACACTCCCACATAACCTTAACTCTTTTTTTCGGGCTTTGTGACGTTTGGGCTCTTTGAGTAATTGCACATCATATCCATTGTAGGTGAGTTCTTTTTCCCCTCAGTAGTATCCATTGGGGTGGCTTGAGTGCCCTCTGCCGCATGCCGTTGTGTGCTGGTATAAAAGAGCAGAGCTTTTCCCCATCCAGTTCCATCTATCACCAGTGATGATTGGTGCAAATGCAGACTTGGTTAATTCAAGTACTTCTCTCGTTCTTCTTTGTATATAGTTAGGTATAGTAAGTTTTTTTTTTTTTTAGTCAATTGTTGATGATTGAACAGCTAGGTTTCCATTTTTGGTCTCTTTTGACCCTTTGTCCTCTTTCACTGCTGGTACGGGAATGATACCTTGCTCACCGAGGTTTAAGTCCTGCAAGACTTCTGCAAATCCTGTTCCAGTCAGCTACCTGCATCTGTCCTGCCTGAAAGCTTAGGAGAATCCCACATCAGTCACACATTTCATCTGTAAAAGTTTCAAACCCCACTCAAAAAGAGATAGGGAGGCATGGCTTAAGTTCTTGCTTATGGAAGCAGCACTTCAACCCCCATCAGAAAGGGTCACAGGAGTAAAGTGCCCCAAGTACTTCATCTTCAGTATGGAGCACCCCAACAGATGTCTGCAGTTCCTCAGTCCCATTCCCCTGTACCAAAAAAAAAACTTCAGACCTTTCTCAGGTTCCACCTCTTGCTCTTCTGCGTTGGCACTGAAGCATGACCGAGGCAGACGCTCCACAAAGGCGTTTGAGAGAGAGGCCATCCCTGGAAAGCTCGTCACCTCCCAAGGGGGTCTCACTGCCTCCGGACTCTGTGCCATGTTTGTTAAGGCCATTCCTTGAAGGACAGTTGCAGACCCAACAGCCGGTGCCAGTCCCAATCACCCTGGCAGCACATGCAGTTGCAGAAGACTTGCTTAGCCTCTTAGTACTGGTATTGCCGACAGCAAAAGGCTCGCAGCCAGTGCCTGTGCCTGCAACTTATACCTCACCACATCTAGATCCTGTGATACCATTACTCAAACCTCTGTTGAAGCCTGTCTTGTTGAGAAGAGAGCCTCCTATGATTTTTGCAGTACTGCTATCACCGGGCTCAGACTGTCTCTCATCAGTCCCATCTGCATCGACCACTACTTTGCCTCAGGCATTTGACTCTTTGGACACAGAAGTGAAGTCCTCTCTATCTTGTCCAGGACACTACATCTCCTATCAGAGTTGTTGGGACCGTGGGCTATCCAACAACCCCAGCACTGGGTCCAGGCTTATATCAATGGCCATTCTGGCACTGTGGAGCCTTCCCCTCCAGCCAGGTCCTCCCCTCAACATTCTTGGACACAGTCATGAAGCGTGCACCAGACACACCAGAACAGAGAGCACCATCCCCTGGTACCAAGACTGGTTCCAGGCAGCCTCCCCACCACAACTTATGGACCAGCCACCATCTCGGATGAGAGAGGCTCATCCCATCTAGTCACCTCTTCCAAATAGGCATTTTGATGGGATATTCAAGGACAGTGTACTAGCTACCTTAGTTCTGTCTGTTCCCCATCTTTTATTTACCAATCCCTTACCTCGCTTCCTAAGTGCATGGGCCCGCATAATGTCAGATTGGTGGGTCTTAAGCGTGGTAGAACGGGGGTGTACCATCCAGTTTATTTCTACCCTTCCCCTGTCCCTCTTCAGGAATCACTCTCTCACGAGATTGCCCTTCAGCAGGAGGTCCAGTGTCTTCTTCAGGCAGGGTCCACAGAGGAAGTTCCATTGTCCCTCGGGACAAGACTTCTATTCCCTCCATTTCCTGATCCCCAAAGCAAAAGGGGGTTTCGGGCCTATTTTAGATCCAAGAGAGCAGCTTACCTTTCGGGGAAAGAGAACATGGTAGCAGATCAGCTGAGCAGATCCTTCTCCAATCAACTTAACCAGTCATTACATCCAGAGATAACTAAGTCCATCTTCCATCTGGGGGAAACTCCCCAAGTGGATCTGTTTGCGACAAGAACCAACAGAAAATGCTCTCAGCTCTGTTCCTGGAGAGGGCTCAGCCAAGGCTCACTGACAGATCCCTTTCTCCTATCCTGGAAGCATTTCCTTCCATGCACCTTCCCTTCAGTTCCTTTACTGCCCAGAATAGTATTCAAAATAAAACAAGACCGTGCTCACCTCATTCTTATAGCACTGCATGGCCTTGTCAACATTGATACTTGACAACTCCTCTAACTCTCCCATTAGATCTAGACTTAATCCCAGGGGACCATGGACATCTGCTCCTTCCCAAGCTCTCCATCTAGCAGTGTGGCTGCTTCATGGCTGGAGCCTTTTGGAAAAAGTCCAAAATGTGCTTCTGAATACCAGAAATCTCTTGACTAGAAATACTTAGCCAGGTAAGTGAAAGCTCTTCTCCATATGGTATTGTAGGAAAGATGTATCTCCAAAACGAGCACTCCCCACACCCGAGTGGCATAAGTTTTTGCCAACGTAAGTGGTAATGTAGACATGGCCTACTTTTTTTTGTCATTTAATTTCTGGGGGTGGGGTTACAGAAAGAAAACTTGTTAGCATAAGTTTTACATGTGTTACATAAGTTACCTTGTGTTTTACATGCTAACTACAAGTGCCAAGTGGACTACTAATCCTTGGCTAGTCTGAGTTTCCCCATACGTTTCCCTCCCCTACTCCCATAGTCTCTCTAGGTTTAACACAG